TTCGGAGAATGAAATCCAGGACCGCTATGGCGGCAGTCTCTTTCCTAGCAATCTAAATTTGGCCTCCAGGACATCTCTCCTACCCTACCCTACGTCATTGGTACCTACATGTACCACGACCACCAGCTCCTCCCCAGCACTACACATAAGTCTATCTAGATGCCTCAAGAGATCCACAACCTTCGCACCAGGCAGTCAAGTGACCATACAGTTCTCCCGGTCATCACAAACCCAACTATCTATGTTTCTAACGATCAAATCACCCGCTACTAACACGTGCCTCTTCCTAACAACTGGCATTCCCTCCCCCTCAGAAGTATCCTCAGTGCAAGAGGATCCCAAATACGGGATAGTTTCCCTCTGTTCCCATTGAATGGGCTATTCCCTTGAGACTTTCATCCTCTTTAAGAGCACTGGGGCTCTCAGACTGGAGGTGGGACAGTACTACAGTGTCCCGGAAAGCCTCATCAACATAGCTCTCTACCTCCCTTAGCTCCTTCAGTTCAGCCACCGTGGCCTCCAAAGCCCGAACTTGGTCTCTGAGGGTCAGGAGCTCCTTGCAACGGGTGCACACATACGCCTCTCGCCCACAGGGCAGGTAATCATACATGTTACACTTGACACAATAAACAGGATAGCCCCCACTCTGCTGCAGGGTTTCTGTCTCCATTTTTCTTATGAATAAGTGTAAGTATAAACTGGGCTTCTTATTAAATGTCTGGAATATAGATTATTATAAAAGTTATGTTTAAAGAAGGTCAGAAGTCACTAGTGCCCTCTAACCTTCCCCTCTAAACTCCCTCTCAGCTGCTCCTGTTCGCCATATTATTCTGTCAATGAGCCATATACACTTTTCCCCCTTTGTGAAGATACCAACTATACAGTAAGTAAGATGGTCTCACCAAATTTCAAGCTCTGGTCCAAGTCTGTATCTTGCTCCTTTGTACTTTGCAATTTCAATACCTATAAAATGGGGGACAAGGGTTGGATAAAAGAGGAGTCCATTCTAGATAGAAAATGATAATCTAACCTGTCAGTGTGCAGAGGGGATCTCAGCATTGGACATACAGTCCTGGATTTATTTTAATAGTTTCCATCCTGTAATCTTATAGCCCTTTTGAAGTACCACTGTCTTTTTGGCTCAAATTTGTTTAGGAGCAGATTTTTCAGAAGCCAGATTTTCTAAAGGGCTTAGCACTAACTACTTAATTGCCATACCTAGTATGAAGAAGAATTCTTCTGAACATCTAGCCCAGAGTGGCCAACCTGTGGCTCTCGAGCCACTTGCGGCTCCCCGGCTCATTGTGAGGGGTCCCATCTGGCAGTGTGGTGCTTTCTCTCCCTCCACAGCTGGCAGGGGCCTTTTCTCTCCCCCCTCTCCCTACCAATGTTTGTCTACAAAACTTATGTCAACACCCAAACATCAACAAAACAAAAATCTCCAGTGGGTGTTCATGCTTTTTCCCTCTGTAAACTAGGGATGTGAAAGGTTAACTGATGAACATCACCCTTAACGGGTGATGCTTCGTAGTTCTGGTTAGCCAGAGAGGGCTGGAGCAGCACCCCACAACCACTCGGCATTTTTCTTGATAAAAGTCACATCGCAGTGTGTATGCTCACACTGTTTTGTAAAACTTGGTATTGAAAACAAGATCCTAGTTACAATGTAGAAGCACACAGCATTGATAGTAAGGGGACATTTCCTGCTATATTTTCCTGGCTCACAAGATGGCGCAACTGCTTCCCCAAAGAATACAACACTATACAAACTAAGTAAATCCTTCAGGGGGTACAAAAACATATTCCAAATGCAGAATCACGAGCTGCTGATTTCTTCCAGAAGAGGCATGTCTATTGTTCTATTCATCTTGTTTGAAAGCAGAGGTCCCCAAAGTGTAGGGATTGTTTATGCCCTCTTTATTAGGACATAGAGAATCTCTATTAATAAACTCTCCCCTAAGGGATGTCTCTGTCTGAACCATGTGCTCCTCCTCACCTGTCAGCTTTCCCCTCAGCCCTTAGTTTAAAAACTGCTCTACAATCTTTTTAATTTTTAATGCCAGCAATCTGATTCCATTTTGGCGTAGGTGGAGCCCATCCTTCATGTATAGGTTCCCCCATCTCAAAAGTTTTCCCAGTTCCCAATCTAAATCTAAACCCCTCCTCCCTACACCATCGCCTCATCCACACATTGAGACTCTGAAGCTCTGCCTGCCTGCCTACCTGGCCCTGCGCATGGAACTGAAAGCATTTCTGAGAATGAAATCCAGGACCGCTATGGCGGCAGTCTCTTTCCTAGCAATCTAAATTTGGCCTCCAGGACATCTCTCCTACCCTACCCTACGTCATTGGTACCTACATGTACCACGACCACCAGCTCCTCCCCAGCACTACACATAAGTCTATCTAGATGCCTCAAGAGATCCACAACCTTCGCACCAGGCAGTCAAGTGACCATACAGTTCTCCCGGTCATCACAAACCCAACTATCTATGTTTCTAACGATCAAATCACCCGCTACTAACACGTGCCTCTTCCTAACAACTGGCATTCCCTCCCCCTCAGAAGTATCCTCAGTGCAAGAGGATCCCAAATACGGGATAGTTTCCCTCTGTTCCCATTGAATGGGCTATTCCCTTGAGACTTTCATCCTCTTTAAGAGCACTGGGGCTCTCAGACTGGAGGTGGGACAGTACTACAGTGTCCCGGAAAGCCTCATCAACATAGCTCTCTACCTCCCTTAGCTCCTTCAGTTCAGCCACCGTGGCCTCCAAAGCCCGAACTTGGTCTCTGAGGGTCAGGAGCTCCTTGCAACGGGTGCACACATACGCCTCTCGCCCACAGGGCAGGTAATCATACATGTTACACTTGACACAATAAACAGGATAGCCCCCACTCTGCTGCAGGGTTTCTGTCTCCATTTTTCTTATGAATAAGTGTAAGTATAAACTGGGCTTCTTATTAAATGTCTGGAATATAGATTATTATAAAAGTTATGTTTAAAGAAGGTCAGAAGTCACTAGTGCCCTCTAACCTTCCCCTCTAAACTCCCTCTCAGCTGCTCCTGTTCGCCATATTATTCTGTCAATGAGCCATATACACTTTTCCCCCTTTGTGAAGATACCAACTATACAGTAAGTAAGATGGTCTCACCAAATTTCAAGCTCTGGTCCAAGTCTGTATCTTGCTCCTTTGTACTTTGCAATTTCAATACCTATAAAATGGGGGACAAGGGTTGGATAAAAGAGGAGTCCATTCTAGATAGAAAATGATAATCTAACCTGTCAGTGTGCAGAGGGGATCTCAGCATTGGACATACAGTCCTGGATTTATTTTAATAGTTTCCATCCTGTAATCTTATAGCCCTTTTGAAGTACCACTGTCTTTTTGGCTCAAATTTGTTTAGGAGCAGATTTTTCAGAAGCCAGATTTTCTAAAGGGCTTAGCACTAACTACTTAATTGCCATACCTAGTATGAAGAAGAATTCTTCTGAACATCTAGCCCAGAGTGGCCAACCTGTGGCTCTCGAGCCACTTGCGGCTCTTTGCTCAGAGAAATGAGGCTCTTACACACTTACCATACGGCTGTGTCATTTTTCCAGCTTTTTTAAAACACAAAAAATGTCCGAGGCTCAATTGTCGTTCAGAGCCACACGCCCGGACTGCTCACAGCCGCTCTGTGCGCACACCCCAGTGCTTGGAAGCAGAAGCATGTGGCTGCGGTGGCAGCAGTGGCTCCAGTGAGACCCAGGGTGTTACTAAAAGAATCTGGGCTGCTTGGTTCTGCGGAATGGGTGGGGCATTGGGTTAGAGCGGGGGGAGGGGCCTGCGGTACCTGGCTCTGGGGGAGGAGGACGACGGCACTGGGTCAGCGCAGAGAGGCAGGGGGTGCCTGGCTCTGGGGGAGGGGTGGGTGCATTGGGTTGGAGCAGGTGTTGGAACTGAAAGTTTTATTCTTTTTATATTTGTATTTTAGATTTAGTAATGTAAGGTAATATATAATCATATTTAATACTGTAGTAAATCAAATCCTTTCAAGTATATATCTCCTATATTGCCTTGTTCTAAAGTTTAGTAAGTAAAGAGACAGGATCTCATATTGTGTCTATGTTAATGAGATTAGAAGAATGTTGAAGACCAAAAGGCCTTAATTGCTTGATTTACAATGCCTCTTTGCTTTCTGTGTATCTGCGTAACCGTGAGAGTCCGTGTAACATTGCTTATGCGTGTGAGAAGAGTATGAATGTGTTGAGATAAGGTGCAAAAGTTATATTGCTCAGAACCAGATAGCCAAAGGAGGAGGGTGAGCAAGCATGGGTGAAGACTAGATGACCTGGTGGCAGAGATGCCATCTATAACCATCGATGCGTACCCCTACTCATAAGATGATTGGCTATTGACAGATGGATGGGCCTCGAAGGAAAGCTAGCACCCCTGAAAGATGATTGATTACAGGATGAACTTTGGAAAATGCTTTGGGAACACTGACATCAAAAAGATAATGTTCTGGTCACAAGCTGACAGAGCAGAATCCATGGATTTCAACACAGAAAAGGATTATAAAAGCAGGGTGCTTTGCTATGGAACTTTGGGTTTGTCTTGCCACCAACTCCAGAAGAGCATCGGCTCGATCGACTGACAAAGGCCCTGCTCTCCTGGGTGTTCAATCACTAGACTGATACAGAATCTGGGCTGGTAACTACAACATTGTCTGGCAGGACTGTGTGTGTATATGGTGTTTATTTGTGTGAGTGGTTGAAAAGCATATGATACTATTGTATTCTCAATAAATGCGGTGTACTGCCTTTTCCCCTATAAAAGAGCTCATGTGCTTCATTTAAGCAGATAACACAGGGGGGTTTAGGGTACCTTGCGCTGGGGGAGGGGGATGTGACTCCTTGCACTACCGTCCACAGCTATTTTGGCTCAGTGTCTAACTGGTTGGCCACCCAGATCTAACCATTAGAGCCTTATAATGACAGAGGAAAGCTAATGTTGAGGAAATGTGTTAGACAGGGTGATACAAACTAAAGCAGTGTTTCTGCACAGCGACTGTTAGACATCTGGCTGCAGCAGCTCCTCCACACAACTAGCACATCCTGGGAAACCTCTCCCAGTGCAAGAACCAGGAAACGGACATTTCACAATAGATCATCTCCTGGCAGAGCAGGGCTGCAAATCCACTGCACAATGCTCATGATGGCCTGGCCACTAAGTGGTCCCTCTCTGGGCACTACCACAAAAAAGGGCATCACAAACGCAAGCCTTGAGCTGCTCAGGGAAGGGCCCTTTTTGCTCTTTAAGTCTCCTTCCAGGCAGCACCTCCCTTCCTTTCTCCCCATTCACCCTCTTCCCTTCCTTGGATCCTGGGGGTCCACGGGCAGGACAGTCTTAGGCTCAGGAGCCCCCACCATGGGGCTCCGTCCAACACCCCTCCCCCCCCACACTCTGCACCCCTCCGACGGCCAGGGCCTGAGAAAGGCCGCACACTCCCCAGCCCGGAGGGGGAGGAGTCCCCGCTTCCCTGTCGTGCCCCTCCCCCACTTACTTTTTAAAATCCGCGCCACATTGCCCTCGAAATCTAGAGCCCACTGGTTGAGCGCACAGGTCGCCAGTGTGACGGGCCTGCCCATGGCCGCTCCCCCAGAGCCCAGCGGCGCTGCCCACGCAGCAGCAGGCCGGCTAGCAGCAGCGAACCGCGG